CTAAGACTCACCAAGGTAAGACAAGAAGGAAGTGCGTGTATGCCTCCTTCAATGCACACCAAGGTGATCCTCAAGGCCACCACTTTCGGCTGGCTCACTGCGGGAGAACAAGTCACCACTCAATAACAAGACATTAGAAGAAACACTCAAGAAACACACCAAGTATTCCCATTAGGAATGCCTACTTAGTGCAATGAGTATATAGTATCCCATACAACCACCTACCCTAAGTAGTACACTCTTCTAGAAGGCATGGCACCAAGACTCCCCTTTTAGAAGGTCTACTTAGTGCAATCGATAGATAGACTCCCATTCCACTACCTACTCTAAGTAGTATGTTCTTTTAGGAGACTTAGTTCATTCAATTCATATAAGGCTAACCAAGACTCCCTTTCGGAATGCCTACCTAGTGCATTGGATAAATAGTGTCCCATTCCACTGCCTACCCTAAGTGGTACACTCTTTTAGAAGACATGGCACTTACATTACTTTTATGGGAGGTTAGCTTAACCCATATAGACCATGAGAGCTACACATGAAATCCCGATATTAACTCCTATCGGATGAGGGATCCTCACTTGACTAGAACAAGGTCATATCATTCTCTTAGCTTTTTAACATGGCTTACCCAATCAGTACACCTATCCTATCACATAAATAAGGGATAAGAAGATTTCCATTATGTAACTATTTATCTACTAACAAGGATTACTCACCTTAAGAGTTACATTAAAATACAACATCTCAACTCACGAAGTGTAACCACCTCTTCTTCACATCCTCTCGTTGCTAGGCATAACTACCCACGAATTCTAAAAATTATGAACTATAGGTTAAGGATACCTAATGAACACCACATTTAAACTTATGAAGGGAATTCATCCTCCGACCTATGTTAGAAAGCTCTTAGAATGCAGTGAGGTTGCTATAAAATACTTCACCTCAACTCACGAAGGGTGTTCACCCCGACACTCCCCTTTTGACTTAACTTAGTTTCATTTTAATTTCTTCAAGTGTGAGTGTGTTTGTAAATGTGAGAACACCTTGCACATAAGCATCATTTTATTATATTAAACTTATGTACATGCTTATACCTTAATTCATCACATCACGCACTTCACATGTTTCACAAAATCATATACTTCATTTAATTGTACTCTCTATCCTACTTCACATAATAGCTTCATAAAGGACATTTCACATGAATAACATTATGATCATATAACTTCACATAACAAGTCTTCATGGACTCATTCAGAATAAACAAGCCACTTCATATTCATGCAATTCAAGTAAACAACTCCACCAAGAAGGTTAACCATACCACTTAAGAGAATTTCGAAATTAAAGCTAACAACATAAGCAACTCACCCTTTGATCCAAGATCCCATTAACTTTAACATATTAATCAACAATTAATCATAAATTAGCCCTTATATAAGTAGCTAAACATGAATAACAACACAAGTTAACAAAGCTCAAAGACTACAAAACAAAGCTCATTTAACCCATTTCTTATGCTGCCATTGGATAAAAAATCATTATTGTGATTTCATTGAAGTTTTAGCATTAAAATCATCAAATAACATTATAAACATTATATTTGAATTATTTGAAACGTTTTCATGCAAGACCCATTTTTAGAGTTGAAAATAGAAGAAACTGGGGTTGAAAACCCTTTTAGAAAATCCATTAGAAGTGACTCCTTGAAGGGAAGAGAGTTAAAGGATGTATACCATACCTAAAATATAAAATCGCAATGATTTTTATGAATAAACACGTCCAAACCATACCTCCTATCTCTCCTTGAGTCTTAGCTCCAATGCTCACTTTGAGACAGTATGTTTTTAGAGAGAGAGTTTGAGTATTTGAATGAGGGGTCTTGTCTAGGTCTAGGAAATAAAAACAATTTAATATATCTTAATAACACTAAAAATATTGTCCTAAGGTCATAAAATACTTGGGGTGAATTTATACAAAACACCCCAATCTGGAAGCAGGCGTCCAACAACTTTTGCAGGTGCCAATCTACGACCCCAAGCAACTTGGAGACATTTGATCAATGTCCCGTTCGACTGCAGTGTCGATGGATTTAGAGGTTGTTTTATTGGGTTCTAGGATTCCACTAAGTATGTTACTACTCCCACCAAACGACGGGGCATCCTTGATTTTACAGAGAGTAGACTCTGGGCGTCAGCTGCCCAACTCTGGCAGCTTGGATGATACGTCTTGGGTCCTCTTCTAGGAACCCTCGTGGGTCATAGGTGGAGTCATACCTAGAATTTTAACACCTATACATTGTCTTGTAGGTCTTAGGAACATCCCACATCAATTTTGATTAAAATGAACACATAAAATTCACCCAAACACATCAAGACACACAAGTACTTTTTAAGGCACAATTTGCGAACATCGTGGACGTTCTTAGACATTTGACCTCCAAACTTCACACACTACCTAAGAACATCAATATAACTCATTTTAACTTAAAATAAACTCAAGAAACAATCACAAAACTCTTGTAACACCTCATACCCAAAATAGACCAAAAATTAGTTTTTCAAAAAAATTTGTAGGTGCAACTAACGTGACCATTGACGGACAATAGCCTGACCAACGGTATGTCCTGTACAAACGTCGATGGGATTTGAAACTCATAAAAATCTCAGCCCAGGAAAATTGGTTAAGTGTTGGTCGACGGACAAAATTGCAATCCGTAGGTTTGACTACGGTCCGTTGTCTATGACCGTCGACCGAGACCCTCCTTCACCCATTCCCTAACAAGAGCCATGGATGACCAACATGGTTCGTAGGTCGACCTACAAAACGTAGGTCTTACCATAGGTGGGAATTAGAAGACAGTTAAGGGGAAAATGCAGTAGGATCAACTTCAAATGTTCGTAACTATTAGCAAAAATGCATTATGTGTCCCATGACCAACCCACAGATAGATAATTGAATTAGATTTTCATAGACACTGACCTTCAAAAATAAGACCTCTATGTAAGAAGTTATGCCCGTTTTAGTAAATTCCTATAGAATAGGTTCAACAGTCGAACCAACAGATGGGACATGGATGAATCGACGGACCAACTATCGTGGTCGTTGAATTGTCCGGCAGTAACTTTCCCAGGGGTCTTTTGGACCTTTCCAAATTCATTTAAACCCTAAGTTACGTTGTTTTGAACCTAAATCATCATATTTAGTCAGGTTAAGCCTAGAAACATAATTAAAACATATCTAAGTCAAATAATTAAATCAAAACTTAGAAAATTAGAAGCAATAGAGAAGAAAAAGCTCAAGAACCCTAGTTCAAGAACGCCACACACCCCAGCACTTCCAACCCCAAAACTTAAGTATTTTTTCGTGGATATGATCACCTAGTATGTGGAATTCACTAGTGAGTTCCTTTCACCCATTGGGTCCCTAGTTTTTAGTCAGATTCTTGATTTCCATATCATGCTTAGACCTACGATTTCTAGAGCTTTATGAATAAATTAGATATATTTTCCAAATCAGATTATCATGTTATTACTCAGAGTATTGTAAGAATTTCAAAGCCATAGCTCGGTATATCTTGAGTTCTTGAATTACACATGTTAGGTCAGATATTCCAGTTATTCAGTTATACATGCCTCAGTTTTTAATGCATCATTATCAGTTTAAATGTTGCATTCACAGTTTGCATGTGTTGTTTTGAGCTATCTAGTATTTACAAAAAAATTGAGACATAATCAGCTAACTATATAAATCCATGGGAGAACCATAACACCTAGTTGGACTACAGTTCAGCGTACCAAATTAGTCCCAGAACTACTAGCCAAGTAATTTGTAAGTTCACTCTGTCAGGAATCAGTTTAGTGATCACGCCAGCATGACTTTATACCTTTGGCAGGGTATATTGGGTCCTCTCGATGGGACACATACATCAGACTCTTTACATTGACCATTTATAAGTTTATTCAGTATTCAATTTTAGCATGTTATAAATTGGTCATTCCATTCAGTTACCTTAAAAATTCATGTATCATGTTCAGATGATTAAACATTCTTTTGTGCTTGTTCAGTTATGTTTTATTTCAGCTTTACTCTATCCTACATGCTCAATACCTTTCAATTACGAACACATACATGTGCTACATCTTCTCGTGATGTCGTTTCAGGTTCTCAGCATCCAGATCACGCATAGATTGATTTCTGATCTCCAGGTGAGTAGATTTAGTGGTGAGTCCTCATTCTCCGAGGACAACAGTCATGAGTGTCATTTCATTCTTTAGTCATTTAGTTTCAGTTTTTGCTAGATTTAGCTAGGGTTTGTCCCAGTATTTCTAGTCCATTTAGAAACTTATTTCAGACATGGTTAGTTGCAATTTTCTGTTGAGTTAGTAACTTCATTCTATTAAACTCATAAGTCTTCATATTAAATCAATATTATCATATCAGTATTCCTCATCTTTTCATTATAAATTATGATTTAGCTTTCGCATCAATTTATTATCTTTAGTATGCTCATTATCATGCCAGTAGGGTTAGCTTGGGATCATTTGTGGTCCTAATTTCTGTGTTCGCGTCTCACGAGTAGATAGGGCATGACAAAACTTTGTATTATAGCACTATGTTCAATAGTCCTAAGATGAGTCAAAAAGCCTCACTAAGTAGAGTCTTTTTCAAGGGTGTGAAGTGCACCACATCTAATGAGGGTGAGGCTATGAAGTGTTTTAGGAAAAACTTCACTTTCTTGTTAGTCTTATCGTGCGTGAGGTATGATCTTATTCCATTCTAAATTGACATTTTACGTGTCAGATCATGCCTCATCGTAAAGATAATGTTAGAAATGCAAATGCAACTCCTCCAATCCCAGATCAGGATGTCTCTAATGATGTGTTCAGCAATGCATAAAGATTTTGGCTCAAAGTATAACTAACTAGAACAATCGGCTTGATGCTCTAGTGAATGAAAATGGTTGATCAATAGCTATAAGGGTCCGTAACTTTGTTACGATGAATCCTCCTGAGTTTTTAGGATCGCAAGCTAATGAGGATTCTTATAATTTCATAGATGAGATTAAGAAGATCATTATGGTAATGCAAGTCACTATAAATGATCGTGTTAAGTTAGAATCATACCAGTTGAAGGATGTTGGTCATATCAGGTACACTCAGTGGAAGGAGAATAGGGGTGCAAATGTGGCTCCTATCACTTGGGATTGCTTTAGTGAGACTTTTATCGATAGGTTTTTCCCAATAGAGTTAAGGAAATCAAAAGCCCAAGAATTCATGAACTTAAGGCAGAGTAACATGACATTCCAAGAGTATGCACTCAAGTTTAACCAACTCTCTCGATATGCTCCTCATATGGTTGCTGACTACAGGGCTCGGGTGAATAAATTTTTTTATGGAGTGTCAAATTTGGTGAAAAATTAGTGTAGAAATGTGATGTTACTCGGAGATATGAACATCTCTAGACTTATGACTCATGCTCTGAAGGTTGAGTGTGATAAACATAGGGAACATGCTAAGGATAATAAGAAGTCTAGGACAAAGAACGATGACTATTTTTAGCAGAAATCGGGTAATTCAAGTCTCTCGTACGGTCAGTAGAAGTTTTTGGCTCCAACCCCTTCATCAGCTAGTGTTCCATCCTCCAAGAACAGGTATGACCAGAAGGGTAGAAATCCAGGCTCTAAATCTTAGGGAAGTGTTTCAGGAACCAAGACGTAACCCACTTGCGCTAAGTGTGGTAAGATTTATCTGGGAGAGTGTCTTGCAGAAAATGGATGCTTTGGGTGTCCTCAATCTAGTCACAGGTTGAGGGATTGTCTTTATACAAGGATCAAGGAGGTGATAATGGTAGAGCTCAGTTTACAACTTCAGCAGCATCAGGATGTCTCCCAACTCAATAGGGCGACTCATTTGGTACAAGTGGCTGTCAGCGCCAGAACAGTTTGTATGCTCTTCAGGCTCGCCAGGATCAAAAAGGTTCCCCTGATGTAGTCACAGGTACGTTATGTGTCTTTGACCTTGATATTTATGCATTCTTAGATTAGGGGGCTACTATTTCTTTTGTAACTACTGGTATTACTTGTTGAGTTAGTAAGCATGTTTGATTGATTGATATGACTTGCTTGGCTTTGCACTATGTTCTTAAAGGAGACAAATGGCATGTTTTGACTAAAAAGTTCCTTTTGTCATGTTTTGATTATATATACTTATAAGTTCTCATACATAGTACATGTGGGGTACTAACCCCATTTTCTTCCCGTTTTCCAAACATTTTAGGTTTCGGGCGTTGATGAGCTTGGAAAGTGACATTGTTGATGGCTGGATTCTTATTTTAATCCAAGGGGGTAGGTCCTCAACTTCCGAGGGCAATGTCATCATCTAGCTTACGTATTTGTTATGAGCTTAATGACTCTTTCATTTCTTTCCTTTTCAATTGAGTACTATACTTTTGTATGACCTATATGTGGTCTTGTTGGATTGATTTAAGTGTAATGCCCATATTTTGATTGTAGTTTAGATGGTATGATATGAGACAATCATTTAGAATATTTCTATATTTTACATATATGTATGTGCAATAAAAGTAGAAGTCTATGTAACTTTCCTATACGAAGGACCTATGTATGCTCTATATGAATATATATTATGTGTATGTAGAGGTCTATGTAAACCTCCAAGTATTTATAATGAAAGCTTTAAATTTTTTCTACATTTTTCAACGTATGATTGTAATGACATGAGACTAATATGCTAGTCTTAGTCATTGGAAAGGACGACGATGCCGGTTATGTCTAGGGTCTACATGCGGATATGACCAACTTTGTATTACATCATGAGGTTGAATATCGTTGAGTTATATCTCTCACTCTATCCCTTATAAGTAGGTTTGTATTCATAATTATGAAGCGCACCACCCTTATAAGTAGGAACCTATATGATAATAGGGATCACTCTCTATCTTGGAAATCTTGTATCGTGCCAATACAGTATACTTATGGTGTGCTTTTGCATTTAATCATGATGTTGTGCTTATAGGAAGAATGGACACTCGAAGGAATGCGGCTGGAAGACTTGAAGAAGAAATTCCCAATGCGGGTTCCTCCCCGTGGTGAGCAAGGTCCTCCACTCGAAAAATATGCTAATGTGGAGCAAGCACCGACCAATCCCCCTCCTTTGACGGATCAGAATAGAAGGGTTTCTCTTCTTAAAATATCCCAAGTTGTCACCACTCAAGCACAAGCGGCCACGATTCAAGCCCAAGCAGTGACGGTTCAAGCAAACCGGGAGGTTATGCCCCGTCTTCATAACAAGTCACTACTATGGCTTCCCGTCTAAAAAAATTCACTCGAATTAACCCTCCTCCTTTATATGGGTCTAAGGTTCATGAAGACCCCTAAGAATTCATCGATGAGGTCTCCAAAATACTTTTGGCTATGGGGTTGTCCACTAGTGAGAAGGCTTAGTTTTCCACTTATCAACTCAAGGGCGTGGCGCAAGCATGGTATGTGCAATGGAGGGATAATAGGTCATTGAGGGGTGGTACGGTGTCTTGGGAAATCTTTAAGGCATCTTTTCTAGATCGGTTCTTCCCTAGGGATATGAGAGAGGTAAAACTAGTGGAGTTCATCAATCTTTGCCAAGGAGGAAGGAGTGTCCATGAGTACTCTTTGAAATTCATTAAGTTTTCCAAATATGCTCCTTCTTTGGTCTTTGATACTATAGAACAAATGAGCCATGTTCTGACGGGGGTGTTAGAGGACTTACAAGAGGATTGTCATTCAGCCATGCTACATGACAACATGAACATTTCCCATCTTATAGTACATGCAAGAAGGGTTGAAGAGGCAAGGGAGAAGTGAAAGAGTAGATATGCTAAGTGAGCAAGGTCATATGATGGAGTTTCTTCAAAGAATAGTCTTGACATAAAAGACAAGCCTATATTTAAGAAGCGGGTTTCTAATAAATTCCCTTTCAAATTCCCAAAAGCTAGTGGTGATAGGGTGTCTAACCCTAAATTCAAGAAGGGAAAAGGAACAAATTCACCAAATGGGAAGCCAACTTGTGGAAAGTGTGGTAAAAAGCACTATGGTGATTTCCTTAAGAGGACGGATAATTTCTTTAGTTGTGGAAAGAGTGGTCACAATATTAGAGATTGTCCAAACATGAAGAGTCAAGACAAGGGTAGTGGTCAAGATCAAGCAACTGATCCTTGTGATGCTCTAAAAAAGAACTATAATCTTAGATCTAGGAGTGAGAAAGATACTTCTCCGACGTGGTGCAGGCATGTTGAAAGTTTTCTCTATTGATGTATATTCCTTACTTTATCCCACACTACATTATCATTTGTTACGCCTCTAGTAGCTAAAAAGTTTGATATTTTACCCATTATTTTGCATGAACCTTTTCTAATGTCTACTCCGGCGGGTGAGTCAGTTTTTGCAAAAAGGGTGTATAGAAATTGTCCAATAATGTTGCCCAATAGAGTTCCGTATGTTTATCTAGTAGAACTCGATATGCTTGACTTTTATGTTATATTGGGTACAGATTGGTTGCATGCATGTTTTGCCTCCATTGATTGTAGAACAAGAGTGGTGAGGTTCAACTTCCCAAATGAACCCGTTGTTGAGTGAAAAGGGGGGAAATTCTATTCCTAGAGGTCGTATGATTTCTTGTCTAAAATCATGCCAAATGAACTCAAAAGTTTGTCTTTATCATAAAGTAAGAGTCCAAGATCTAGTCTCTGAAGTTCCTCCCATCAAATCGTTCCCCTTAGTGAGTGAGTTTCTGGAGGTCTTTCTTAATGACCTTCCCAGTATTACTCTCGAATGGGAAATTGATCTGGCATTGATTTGCTACCGGATACATATCCCATATCAATTTCTCCTTATCGGATGGCTCCGGTCAAGTTGAAGGAGTTGAAGGCTCAACTCAATCATTTATTAGATAAGGGTTGTATAAGGCGCAAAATTTCTTCGTGGGGTTCTCCAGTTTTATTTGGAAGAAAGATAGTTCCTTCAAAATGTGTATTGATTACCGCCAACTCAACAAGGTCACCATTAAGAATAAGTACCCTCTTCCTCCGATTGACGACTTTTTTTATCAACTCCAAGGGGCAAGTTACTTTTCAAAAATTTACTTGAGATCGGGGTATCACCAACTTAGGGTGAGAGGTGAGTATGTAACAAAGGCGGCCTTTAAAACTAGGTATGGGAACTATGAGAAGTTGGTCATGTCTTCCCGTCTCACTAATGCTCCGGCAGCGTTTATGACCCTAATAGATAGAGTGTTTCAAAATTATCTAGATTCATTTGTTATTTTCTTTATTGTCGATATCTTGGTAAATCAAAGAAAGAGGGTGGTCATATAGGTCATTTGAGGGTGGTAATGCAAACCCTTAAGGAACATCAAGTGTATGCCAGATATAGTAACTGTGAGTTTTTGTTGATGTCAGTGACATTTCTTGGGCACATCATCTCTAGTGAGGGAGTTGAGGTAAACCTAAGGAAAATGGGGGCGGTTAAAAATTGGCCTAGACCATTAACTAAAACCGACATTAGTAGTTTCTTGGGTATAGAGGGTTATTATCGGATATTCGTAGATGTTTTTGCATCTATTGTGTCTCCTTTGACTACTTTGACCCAAAAGAGTAAGAAGTTTGAGTGGTCGGAGGCATGTGAGTAAAGTTTCCAGTTGTTTAAAGATAGTCTTATTTCCGCTCCAGTGTTTTTTAACAGAGGTCACAAAGGTTTTTTTAGTTTATTATGACGCATCCTGAGTAGGTTTGGTGTGTGTGCTTATGCAACACGGGAAGCAAATAGCCTATGTCTCTAGGAAACTTAAGGTACATGAGAGAAACTATCCCACTCATGACCTTGAGTTAGCGGTCGTGGTGTTTGCTTTGAAAATTTGGAGGCATTACTTGTATGGGGTTCATGGTGATGTATGTACCGATCATAAGAGTCTCCAATATGTTTTAACCCAAAAGGAGTTGAATCTCAGACAAAGAAGGTGGCTAGAGTTGTTTAGAGATTATGATATAATTGTCCTTTATCACCCCGACAAAGCTAATATAGCTACGGATTCCCTAAGTCATATGACTATGGGTAGTGTATCCCATCTTGACGAACCAAAGAAGGACCCTGAAAGGGAAGTACAAAGGTTGGATAGGTTTGGGATGAGGTTTGAGATTTCTCCGGATGGGGGTGCTATAGTTCATCAGAACTCTGAGTCATCTTTAGCTGTTGAGGTGAAGTCCAAACAACACCTTGATCTAGCCTTAATGGAGTTGAAAGTATCCGTTCTCGGCAAGTTGAATAAATCATTCTTCTTATAGGGAGGATGGTGTGCTAAAGTACCAAGGGAGATTGTGTGTTCCCGATGTAGATAGGTTAAGGGAACGGATCATAGAAGAAGCACATGGGTCCCGGTACTCAATTCACTCAGGATCGACAAAAATGTAACTAGACCTAAGGGAGATATATTGGTGGGAAGGTCTAAAAAAATACATAGCAGAGTTTGTCTCTAATTGTCCGAATTTCCAACAAGTGAAGACCGAAAACCAAAAGTTGGGTGACTTACTACAAGAGATCCAATTTCCGACTTTGAAGTGGGAAGACATCAATATGGACTTTGTAGTAAGTTTCCCTCAAACTCAATTGTCATATGATTCCATATGGGTGGTTGTGGATCGGTTGACTAAGTTTGCTCGCTTTAGTCCCGTCAAGTATTCATATTTGGCAGAAAATTATGCAATAATCTTCCTAGATGAGATTGAGTGTTGACCTAACATTCTGTTATCCATCATAACTGATCGAGGGTGCACAATTCACATGTAAATTTTGGAGGTCATTCCAAAAAGGGTTGGGTACTACGGTGAAGTTGAGCATCGTACTTTTCATCCCCAAACGGATGGTTAAGTGAAACGTACAATATAAACCCTTGAACATATGCGTAGGGTGTGCATTATTGATTTTAACGGGAATTTGGATAAACATTTACCTTTGGTAGGAGGTTTAGGTCTCCTATTGGATAGTTTGAAGTAGGTGAGACATCACTTTTTGGTCCCTAATTAATTTATAAGACTTTGGAAAAGGTACATATCATAAGGAACCGGCTTCAAATGGCCTATAGTCGGCGAAAGTTTTATGTCAATCATAGGAGAAGGGATTGGGAGTTTGAAAAAGGTTATAAGGTGTATTTTAAAATTTCACTAATGAAAGGGGTGCTTAGATTTGGCAAGAAAGAGAAGTTGAGTCCTTGTTATGTGGGTCCTTATGAAATCTTGAAAAGGGTTTAAAAGTTGCCTAATTATAACTTCCTAGTGAATTGGCTTCGGTTCATCCGGTTTTCCATGTTTCTATATTGAAAAAGCATATCCGTTATCCTGAGTCCATTCTTCCTATTAAGGGTCTTGGTGTAAAGGATAACTTCTCTTATGAGGAATTCCCAATTCAAATTCTTGATAGGCAAATCAAGAAGTTGAGAAATAAAGATGTGGTTTCCGTAAAGGTATTATGGAAGAATCATCTAATTAAGGGTAAAACATTGGAGGCCGAGAACGATATGAAGTCCCGTTACCCTCATCTTTTTTATAATTCGTTCTTTTTAATAATATAAATATGACTAGAAGTTAAGGTTTATTGATTTTTGGGTGAGGTTTTGTGCATTATGAATTTTTGAAAAACATTATAGTCAAGTTATTGTAGTATTTCTTTTAAAAACATGAAATTTTACTTTTTGCTTGTTTTGAGTGATGTTGTGCCTTTTGGTATGGTGTGTCTTTATTAAATTATATGTAGCATGTTGTTAGGTTGAACTTTGTGCTAATTGACTCATGTAATGTAGGTTGAGCTCATAAGTGTTTCGAGAAGCAAATGCCTCATGATGAAGTGTTTTGAGTCCTATGTGTGGTAATATGAGTTTTGATATTTTCCTTGTTGAAATGACATGGTTTGTGTTGATTTGATATTGTTGATTTGTTGGGCTGCTAGTCTCGAGTTTATTTCTTCCTTCAAAAGAACATTAGTGTCATTCGGGGATGAATGTTGGGGGGATAATGTAACACCGTGAAAATCCAAAACGTGTCATAAAGCCTAACATAGGTGTCATAAGGTCTAAGTACTATTTCTATGTCCATTCTTAATGAACTTATGTCATTTAGGAAGTTTAAGAACCAAAACGTCCAACAACGTCCATGACGTTCAGGAATTCGGTTCAAAGGGGTATTAATGTTCCTTAGACGATTTGACTAACTTTTAGGAGTCAGAAATGTATACAAATTGGTGGAAGATTAGCTAGTAGGTTTTTGATTTGTTTCATGGTTGAAACTTCTAGGTATGACTCCACAAAGACCAACCAAGGTCTCTTGAGGAGGACCGTAGCGTTTGAAGAAACACTGTCTGGCAGTGTGCATCGACGGGATAGAAGACGGACATGTGGGGACCAATGGGGCGTTGATGCCACAGTCTTCCCACACTTAGGCTGGCTGAGAAGGTCCCTTCAGCCGCTCAGCCTCTGAACTCATTGAAGGAATGCAGAGGTGCAGGCTACGGTCGGTGTATGGATCGATAGGGCGTTGATGCCACCGTTGTCCCTCACTTAGACAATGCATCGAATCCCGTCACCTGCACAGGCTGTGAACTCATCGACAAAGTGCATGACGGAGGGGTGAGGGACCTTCATCTCACAGATGGCCCGTCGATCGGGGTCTCGTCTTTAAGGGTTGAGCTTTCTGATTTATTTATGTTAGTTTCATTTAATTAGGTAGGGGGATAGGACATTAATTTGGGGTTTAAGGTAGTTTAATTAAGTTGATTAATATCCAATATAAATGCCCTCAACCCTCATTAATGTAAAGACAACTCACAAATAAACTTTCTTCTTTCTTTCTTATTTCTCTCTCTACTTGAACTCACCATTGAACACTAGTAAGGATTAGGGTATGAAGGCTGGAAAGGGACGAATTCTCCATCAAATTGTTATCAAATGTTAAGGTATGAGATCTAATTCACCTTTGAGACTCTTTCCTAAAAGGGATCCTTCAAAATAGATTTCAAAAGTTGAGTTTTCGTATGGGTTTCATCGAATTATGAAATTGAAGTTATGAATTGAGTTGTTGATGATTTATTTATCTTATATTGGATATATTAACATGAATTTCAACTTAACTATTGTAATTGTTAGTGTTTTTGTCTAAATTGAAGAACATTATCCTCCATCCTAACCTTAGGTTGTAATCTTGACCTTTATTTAATGTGATTATTAAACTGACTTGGTTATTGATTAGATTACTATCCTATGGTGTTAT